TATTTCCCTGTGGGCTGATCACCTGATTTATTTCAAGTCCTGGCAACAGAAGCATGTATGAGCCAGATCTGTTCCTGTCATGTGTGGCTAGTTACTATCCTGTCCAGAGCCCGGGGACTGGACAAAATGACCCTTGGCTACCCTCTCTTACTGTCTAGGTTCAAATGAATTTGCAGGGCAGGTGCAGATGCTGCCATGATCTCTTCTGCTACCCCACCTACCCATATGGGGAGCTGGCCAGCCCCACGGCCAGGTGTGAAACCCGTGGGCCTGCTGTGCTAAAGTGAGAATTTTCCTCTAGCTTGATACAGCTTTTGGGCAGGTGAGGCAGCATCTCCTGTTCTTGTCAGGTAGTAGGGGAAGGAAGAGGCTCTGGATGACTGGAACAGAGTCAATGCCTTGCTGTTGCTACTGGTGGTCTTTGGGCAACAAAGCCTTCATTCATATCCCTTCTACTGCTACCAAACTGCCCTAAGATTGTGCTCTTACAGATGTCTATGTCAATGCAAGGGGAAACCTAGAAATGATCTTGCTCTACAAACTCAGTTTTGAAACATTCTACTGTCAATTTTATATATGTGTGTGTGTGTATGTATGTAGAAAATGTAATATCTCTCTCTCAGACACACATACACAAGTGAACCAAGTGTCCTATCATAAAAGTGAGGCATCCAAGACCCAAAGGCATAAAGTGTCTGTCCTGTGGCTGAAGTCTTCCCTACAACTAAGCGCAATTACTCAGTGTCCTTCCTCCTCTTTGGCCATCTCCTTATTCCTTGATTCAACACACATTATTTGAGCACTTATTGTGCTTAAAGCACAGTGTGGTGTGGAGTCACAGACTTATGGGGCAGTGAGTCAGAGCCACCTCAGTAGCACTTAACAACGATTCTTGCCTAATTGGAGCCCTGGTGGTGCAATGGTTAAAGTGCTTGGATGCGAATCCAAAGGTTGGCAGTGTGAAACCATGAGTGGCCCAACAGGAGAAAGAGGTGGCGGCCTTCTTGTGTAAAGATTTACAGCCTTGAATACCTTCTAAGGTACGTCTACTCTGCCCTTTAGGGTTACGATGAGTCAGAATCTACTTCAACAGCAGTGGGGTTGGTTTGGGGCTTAATTCTAGCCCAGGCGACACAGTGTAACCAAAAGGTTGGCAGTTCAAACCTACACAGCAACTCCACAGGAGAAATACCTGGCAATCGACCTCAGTAGAGATTACAGCCTAGGAAACTTAATGGGCAGTTCCCCTCTGCTTCCTGCGGTCACTTGGAACGCACTGTGTATCAAGAGGGCGGTGGGATGTATGCACTGGCCGAGAAAGGAGAAACGGCTTGAGCAAACATCCGGAGCACGGCCTGGGAGCAGACACGAGGCTGTCACTTCCACCGAAGGAGACAATCTCACTCGTAGGTTTTGCACAGCAAGGTCTTAAGACTGGGGTTCTGGTCACAGGACTCCCACCTCTCAACCATGCGATCTCAAGAAAGTCACAACTGCCTGTTGCCTCGATTTCCGCGTCATGAAAGGGGGAAGAATAATTCTTTTCATGACTTCATCAGAGCGTGGATGCGAGGATTAAATAAGCATGTGTGTGCCGGCACCATGTAAACTGGAAAATACCTTGATCTTCCTGACATTGACTTGGAATCCACACTGAGGGCTGCTGTCCTTGATGGTCATCAGCAAGGGCGTCAAGTCTTCCTCACTTCCAGCAAGCAAGGTTTTGTCCTAACAAGTTATTAATGCACCTTCCTCCAATCCCGATGCCACATTCTCCCTCATATAAGTTGGTTTATCTGGTGATTTGCTCAGCATACAGATTGAGTAAGTGTGGTGATTGGATACATCCCTGTCACATACCTTTCTTGATTTTAAACCATGCAGCATGTCCTTGTTCGGTTCCCACAACTGCCTCTTGATCCATGTACAAGTTCTGCATAAGCACACTGACATGTTCTGGAATTCCCATTCTTCTCAAGGTGACCCATAGTTTGTTATGATCCACTCAGTTGAGTGCCATAGCATAGTCAATAAAACACAAGTAAACATCTCTCTGGTACTCTCTGCTTTCAACCCAAATCTATCCACGTCCTCTTCTTCTGAATTTGGCCCGAGCTTTTGACAGCTCCTGTCAATGTGCTTCTGTAACCTTTTTTGCGATGATCTTCAGCCAAATTTTACTTGCATATGATATCAATGATTTTGTTCTCTAATTTGAGCATCCTGCTGGGCCACCTTTCTTTATAATGGGCACAAATATAGATCTAGCACAGAAGTGAAATCACCTTCTCTAAGACACAAGTGTCCCTCCCTCCTGGACTTGAATTTCCACGAAGGTTAATGAACATCCTTGGGGGAGTGTCTGTTGATTTGAGGTGACCGTAGAATAATGTTAAATGGCAGGAACTGATTGATCTTTCTTGTTAGGATAAATGTACACTTTGTATACAACTCAGCAATTCTAACTCTATATTTTCACCCTTGACAAGTAAAAACATATCTACACAAAGATCGTTGCAATAATGATAGAAGCTGTGTTCAAAATAGCCCAAACTTGGAGATACCCAAAATGTCCATTAATGGGTATGAGAAACAAATTACATATATCCACACAAAGGAAATACAAGCTAGTGATACTTATAACAGAATGGATGAACCTCAGCGCTATGATGAGCAAAATCAGAAAGAAATGAAAGAGTATATGTATGACTTACAGCGATATGAAATTCTAGAACAGGTAAGACTAATCTATATTGACATAAAGCAGATTGGTGGTTGGCTGTGACTGAAGATGGGAGAAACTGACTGCCAAAGGGCGCAAGGTTACTCTTCACTGTGATGGGCATCTTGATTGAAGTAGTGATTACATGGGCGTGTACATTTACCAAAATTCAGCAAGTGGTACACTTAAAATAGGTGTAATCTCCTGCCTATAAAATATAACAGTAAAATGGATTTATAAAAATAAAAATGTCAAAAACCAGGTAGCCCTATTTCTAGAAATTCTCGTCTGGTTGAACTGAGATATCTGCATTTTTGTTCAGCTCCAAGGATAATGATGCTACAAGTAGTTTCTAGAAGAGTGTTGGCCAGTTCTTAGAAAACAAACTAAAAAAGCTCTATCTATCTATTTATCCATCTATCGATCTATCCATATCCAACTCCCACGTTTTACTCTTTAGCTGAAATACTGGTCACTACTGAGACATCTCCCTGGCTTCTCTAGCCTCTCAACGGTTGACTCAGCTGTGACTGAGCATCCTTCATCATTTACAAAAGGAAGTTTTTTAAGAAGATAAATGAAACAGAAGCAAAAACAAAAATACAAGTACAAAGAAAGCAATATATTTGCAGGGCACAAATCCCTGTCCCTAAGGTCAAGCCTGGCATTAGATGGGCTCGCTTGGCTCAACTCACTGTGCATATGGTATCCACAAATATGTCTAGCCTGGAGGTAGAGCAGCTGGATCGGGAGGCTGACGGACCACCCGTGTGGAGAACGGAACAATGCAGTAGAATGCTTCAAGCACCAAATTCCAGTCTCCTTTTATAGAAGAGGAGAGAGTCATCCATCTGCCAAACTAAAGTTCTATATTTCCATCCGTGGGTCTTGTCCTGCTGCTTGACATAGCTGCCCCTTCTGCTGGTCTCTTGTTCTGTCCACCTGTCCAAATCCTCCCCACTCCCTCTGGCCCAGCTTGAGTAATACCACCTGAGGTCTTGCAAGATCACTTAGTCCAATGCAACGTCTCTCTCTCTCTCTGAACTCCAGTGACACTTGGCTTGCAGAGCTGTTACAGAATTTTTGATTTGTCTTCTAGTTACTCCTTGATTATAGAAACTATGGCTTTTGATCTCTGGTACATGTAGCCTGCATTGTTCTTAGGATATTGATTTACATTTAAGAGGTGTGCTCCATACCTTGATTGTAAGAATGAATGATAATGTCCAAGCTGAGTTGTCTATCGGGACTTTTGTTTATACTGTGTCCCTCTTTCCTGAAAAACCTCCCCACCTCAAATGTTACTTCTTCAAGAAGTCTTCCAGGAATCCCCAAGCGGTTGAATTCCTGGAGCACTTAGGGCATAATTTGATCTTATTATTCATCATACTGTATAAAATTATTTTGTATCTGATCCACCCACCTAATCATAAAGCTTCACGAGGCCCAGGACTACCTTCTAGTCATCCGATCTTCATCACCACCTGGCTGATGACAAGAGCAGGCATTTTATGAATGTTAATCAGATGGACTGGTCCTTTTAGAAGTTTCTGGAAGTATTAGTCCACTGCCCAGAGGGTTTCTTTAGTTGGTATTCCTATCCGTGGACAGAACTGTGCTGAGGTCTGATTTTCAGAGAAAGACCAACGTAAGCAGCCTTCCCACTCCACTAAGTTTCCTCAAAGCTGACTTAGATGTCTCCCTAGGGTGCTTTGGGCCTTATAGTGCCAGCATTCCAGGGAATTCCCCAGCAGAATAGACCGTTTAAGTACGGAAGAGGCCAGGGTGGCGTCTCCTCCTCACAAGGTCTTTCCAATGAGCCTGGAGTCCTGGCCTTCCTTTCCTGGAACACAGGTCTCTCGCCCTTTCCCCCCACTCCTCCTGCTGCTGCTTCCTCCTTCTCGCAGCCCCCCCAGCCCCCGCAAACTCTTTTCTTCTCTGCTTCTCTTCTCCCACGTTCCCAGTTGTGCAGTTCCGTCTCTCCGTGCTGTCTCGGCCTCCTTTTGCCCCTTTGGCTTCCTCACTCCTAGCTACACTCCCGGCTCCCCTCCGCCCTGCAGGAAGCGAGCCTGCTCCCCCCGGCGGCCGGGCGCTGGGAGGGCAGGTGGGCGGGCCCGGCGCCGCGAGCCCGCCCCTCGGTGCGTGTGTGCCCGTCCGTGTGTTGGTGACGCGGCACCGCCGGCGGGGAGGAGGGCTGGACCGGCGAGGAGGGCTCCTGCGCGCCCTCGCACTCTCCGCCGCCAGCCCAGGCGCAGGCAGGGGCGCACGGCGGCGGCGGGCGGCATGGAGAGCCTGCTGGAGAACCCGGTGCGTGCCGTGCTCTACCTCAAGGAGCTCACGGCCATCGTGCAGAACCAGCAGAGCCTCATCCACACCCAGCGCCAGCGGATAGACGAGTTGGAGCGGCGACTGGACGAGCTCAGCGCCGAGAACCGCAGCCTGTGGGAGCATCAGCAGCTGCTGCAAGCCCAGCCTCCGCCCGGGCTCGTCCCCCCGCTGCCGGCTCCCCCGGCCGCCGCCGCCGGGGCCCAGGAGCCGCTCCAGAACCACGGACAGCTCTCGCCCGCCGCGCCGCCGCCCGCGCCGGAGCAGCTGCCTCTTCAGCACCACGGACAGCTCCTGGTGCAGCCGCAGCCGGGCCCCAGCAGCAGGGCACACGCGCCCCAGTCGCCCCACCAGCACCCGGTGGCACCCGGGGCTGTCGCCGACAAGGAAAAGGAGCGCCCCCCGAGTTGCTGCGCCGCCGCTGGGACCCTCCTTCAACACAAATCCCCCGCCGCCCTCGGCAAGGGCGTCCTGACCAGGAGACCTGAGTGAGTGGGGAAGAGGGAATGGGGATTGTTGGGGGTGGGGTGGGGGAGCAAGTGGGTGTGAGAGGAAGATGGGGTAGCCGCGGGGTGAACCCGAGGCTGGAGGACCTAGAGTTAATGTGAAGTGAAGGGATGGAAAACAGCTTTCAAGGAGATTTCGGGGAAAGGGTGGAAATAATCGCAAATGTTTAAAGGGTTTTTGGAGCTCTTGGCACACACAAAAAAAGGGGGGCGGGGGATCCAGGACATCCTTGGGAGCAAAAGAGGAACGAAATGGGTTTTAAACGATTTGAGGTTGTTGGGCACCTGGCAGAGCTGCCAGGGAACACGATTGGGAGGAAGTTCTGGGGAAGATGAAGCTTGCAGGAAAAAAGAACTGTTGGAGGATTTTTAAGTTCAAAGAAATTTAGACGGGGGCAGCCAAATGATTTGAATGGAGCGTGAGAAAGAGGAGGCTCGGGGGAAAGGTGTGTTAAGGGTTGATAAGGCTGGAGCTCACAGAGCATAGCACGGAGGCATGAGGGGGATTGCGGAGGTAGAGGGGCAAGAACAGCAGGAATGGTGTGAAAGGGGATCTAGAGACAGGGGGAGGTGAGGGGTGGGAGAAGGCATTTCCCAGGGGAGTGGGCTGGCTCTTTAACTGATGCCGTGGGACCAGGAGTGGAAGCCAGGAGTGGCTCATTTACAGAAGCTTACTCTGCTCTGACGCGAGTGAGCACTTGGTCCTGAACGCCTGCAGAACCAAAAAGGGGTAGAAAGAAATAGACTCTAAAGCCAGGGCAGGACTCAGCTCTGCTTACTAGAGCGTCTTCCTCGGACTCAGGGAAGGAAAGGCTTTTGTGCAGAATGCTAGCAATCATGGGAAGAGAACAAGGCCGAGGAGACAGCAATGGGAGTCGCTAATGTGGATGTAACCCCCGACCGTGTGAGTCTGTTACAATGGGTGATGGCAAGCCTTGTTTCTCACTGGCTATTTGGGGACCTAAGAGAAACATGCCCTTTTACCCTCAGCAAGGAACTCCAGGTCCCAACGATCACCACTGAAAAGATCCGTGAACTAGGAACGTGAGGTGAAGAAATGAAAGGGGGTGAGGAGGTTTTCTCCCCTGTATTGGAAAGGCTGTGGCCAAGTCAGGCTTCTTCTTCTGATCAACCAAGCGATGTGATGACTGCATGGAAGGACAGCTCAGGGGAAATCAATATCTCATCCTCCAAAAGGAGTGTGCGTGTGAGGGGGGAGGTGGGATGGGTGGGGGAGTGGACAGAGAGCCAAGAGCCTTAATCCCAAGTGTGCTTTCGGTCTAAGGGTACTTGTGAAGGTTTGATGTCTTCCTTAAAGATGCATTTTCTCCTCACCTCTATTGTAGAGTTAGCAAAGTTGGGTCAGGGCCTCCTTGCTCACGAAGGATCTTTGCTGTAACCATGGAATAGCAGGCAGGGGTTGAAAAACCTTGGATGGTCTGAGTTGGAAAACATACAGCCTCCAGAAGATGCCTTTTTATCCCCCACACCTCTCAATGGACCCTCTGCCCGTCTCGGTTTCATAGTTGTTTTCTTCCTTTCTCGAGATAACAGGCGGAAAGTCTGTCTTCCTTCAATGCCCGTGGCTCAGCCAACAGCAATATTCTTCTTCCAAGATGTGCTGACCTTTTTCTCAAAGAAGGGAAAAATGAACCATTCCAATTCCCTGGGGCAACCATCATTTCCTGGTAATTAAGTCGCCCCCCCCCCCAACTGATTCTTCTCATGCCTTCTAGTGTCTTCTTCCCTACCTACTGCTCCTCTACTTTCTTTGTGTTCTTTAAGGAGGCTGGTAGGCAGGGAGAGTTGATCAAATATCCTTTTTCTTGAGCCAGGACTCTGCCGTGGCCCCCACTGTTGCCTAGAGAGCTCAACCTTCCCACCCAGGTGTTCCTGCTGGGAACCCAGGGCTGAGCTATCACCTGGACGCCTAGCCAACCTCGCCTGCCATTTACTAGAGAAAACCCACGACATCCACATCCTTCCCCTTGTCCTGTCTTTGTCTCACAGGGGAAAAGAACGGAAGTGAGAACTAATTAGCACAGTGGAAGAGGGGACAGTTGTTGGAGGTTAATAACACCAGTAGGACCTTCCTTTCTCTGAACCCTCCTGCTTTTTCTCTTGCTCCTCAAACCTGGGCACCCAAGGACTTAGTATGGACATGCATGCTTCACCTCCGTCCTGCAGCTTTCTCTGCTACTGCAGGTGAATTGTGGACCTCTGGATTGGTGGAATGCCTTTGGACTAGCCATTTCTTTCCCCAAGGTTTTGCCCAACTCAATCCCAGTTTGGTCCTCCCTTGCTTTCTGCACACGGCCCCCACTTTGTGTACTTGTTTCCCCTGCCCATAATAACTGTTGGTGGTGCAGATGGAGCCAGAAGGTGGGGAGAAGATCTCTGTGGAGAGGGTGAAGTGAGAAGAACCGAGGCAGCAGCCTTTTCCCTGGCCGTCCCCCTGAGGAGTTCGCAGCTAAACCAGAGAACTGGACTTGATAAAGTGGGAGGGGCAGACAGAAGAGGGATCTTCTGACCATAATTCTGCCAAAAATCTTTACTTGTCCCTTATTTCCCCTTCTCTGGCTTCACTATTACTGAGGACGCAGCCCAGGTGAGGTTGCTGAGAACAGGATGAGGGCTCCAAGGGGAACCGGATTCTGCATTAGATGCACTAGCTCATCATCCTGTTCACCTCTTCTCCCCAGAATGCCAGTCTCTACACAATCCCAGGAGTGGCAGGAGCCCCAGGGAGCCTGGGACTGAAAAATAATGGAGCATTTCATTACCACCTGATCTCCATCAATATGCAGCCTGGTCTCTTTCCCTCTGTGAGCTGAGGTGGATCCAAAGTGGGTGGCCCTTTTTGGCATGTCAGAAAAGCAACAGTGTGGGGTGGCTGAGGGCAGAGGTATCATACAAGAAAGGCAATTGATGGGTGAAGGTTCTCCCTCTGCTTGCTTCCCGACTCTTGCTAAGCTTCAACCCCTACTGCTTTTGCCTCTTAATGAAAGCAGCAAACATTACCCTCCTCCTCTGTATTTTTCCAATCAAGACTCGCAGCATCTACAGAATTGATCGTTACCCCTTTGCTGGCTGGAGCCAGTCTCAGTCTGACCTAACAAAGTCCCCTCTTTGTCCCTTAAGCACCTGGTCCTACCTGACGCTGCTGGCTTCAGTGTGTTCACGGCATCTATAGGGGAACACATATGTGCCCAGCCACTCAGTTACAGTCTGTGGGTCCCCGAATTCTCCCGTGCTTCTAGGCTCACGGGCAGTGCGCTGCTGGAGGCCAGGCCAGATTCTTGTGTTAGAATTCAATTTCAGTCCTGCTCACACTCTTCCTCAAAGTGACTATGAAATCGAGTGTTTCAGCAACTCCTGCCCTCACCTCCCTTCCTCTCTCTCTTGCTTTCTTATGACATGGTTTTGCTTTCTCCTGTTTTCTTCCCTTCTCTTTTTTGCCTGCCTCATTCTCTTCCCATCCCCCAACCCTGTCTCTCTCCTGTATTTTCTTCCCTCGAGCCTTTAATTCCACCTCATGAAGGGCATCTTTTGAGGGCCATGGTCTCACATTGAGTGGGAAGATATGGTAAAAGACGATGTGTCGTCTGCAGCCAGCGTTGTCTAAGATGTGGATTGGCATAGGTGTCTCAACCCCTGCTGAATCAGGGCCAGCTATGTGGAGGTGGCAGCTCACGATTGGCTGCTCATCCTGGGAGCTATGAAGAGAGCGTCCAGGCCTACCAGTCAGTCAACACTATGGGACAACAAGTGCCCATTCTGTCCAACGTGCGGAACTTGGTGCAGCAAATAGTCTTTGCTCAACAGACCCGTCTAGACAACACCGAGACATCCAAATAAGCACAAGCACACCCGGTATCAAAACAACGTAGGGTGAGAAGGGTGAGCGGGCAAATCCTGCTCCGAGCTCAGAGAGGTGGTTTTCTTGGAGTTATTCAGGGTTTATGTCAAGGGGCAGTGAGAGCCAAGGAGAGCTGGGGAGGGGGCAGAGCCCTGAAGACTCAATCCCCAGAAATGTCTGAATCATGCACCATTGCCATTGTCCTTCTCTGTCCCCAATCCACCAAGGGCAGGGTGCACTGGGTCCAACAGTCAAGGAGAGCCTCAATGCTCAGGGTCTTTCCCACCCTACGGTGGCAGAGGAAGCGTGGGGATGGCCAGTGCTCACGAACTGGCCCACCCTCCCGTTCTTCCCTCACCTGCAGCAGGGACAGAGCTTCCAGCCACAAGCTGGGAAATAAGGCCAGAACCAGGCCTCCTCGATAGGCGTGCGTGTCTTTTGCTCGTAACTGGACGCTGCGTTGTCTAAGATGCTGGGATGAGTCCTTGTCTAGATATGCCTTTCCCAGGGCCCAGACCATTGTTCTTCCCTCCCTTCTGTTGAAAAAGAAGAGCCTTCAGGAAAAAAGACGTCATGCTTTGGCCACAGGGGTGTTTCCGATTGCCTCCTTTCCCTCCACCAGCCCCCCTTCACCTGGCTGACCCCCAACTCTTTCCTACCATACTCCAAAGTCCTCTCCCATCACACACTATTAACTCTAAAGGCCCTCCCCAAAGGGCATCTTAGCACATTTTACCATTGGCCCACAGCCAAGTCAGAGGGAATGGCGGTTGGCCCTGCTGAGTCAGCAATTATCTATGCCGCTGGAGAGTCATAGGTCTCTTTTGAAAAAAAAGCAGATGGGGTCAGGGCTGGGTGGAGAAGCCAAGAGAGGGAGGGTGATAGGAAAAAGGAGACAAGGGGTGGCATAAATAGCAGGGTCCCTCAGTGGCCTGAAGCCTTCAGTCCTGAATTGAAACCCCACATCAAGAGTGAGGCAAGAAGAGTGCCCTTCTTGGGGAGCCTGGGCCTCTTTGATTTCATCCTGAGCCCCTGGCCATGTGGCCACAGGTAGGACTTAGTAAAGGGTTTCTTAGTAAGAGTTCCTGGGGACACTCTCCCTGCACCTGGAAGAGCCCCAGAT